CTGAACATCATTTTTAGTATATTTTCATATTATGAATTTTAGTTTATATTTTCATCATTTTTTATGATTAAATATTTCAATTAGTTTAATTAGGATTTTAATCTTTTTTTAGGTTTTAGAATTTTATTTTCTAATTTTCACCAACTTAAAAATCCACAAAAAATATTCTCAGTTGAACTTTGAGTCTACTTCTTTAAAATATTTTTTGCCTTATTTTATAAAATTCGTGGTATGCTAATTAAATCAATTAATTGGTTATGTCACTTTTCTTTGTATTTTTTTGATATATTGTGTAAATAATTTTTTTTTAAATTCTTCTTCTTGAGATAAAATCCAAGAAAAATATACTCACTTACTCTTAGGTATTGAACTAAGTTGTTATGATTTTTAATTGGACTTACATGTAAGAATTTAGAAGTTAATAGTTGTTTTTTTGTCTTTTTTCTTGCTTAAGCCTAAAGAAACAATTAATTCTCTAACTTCCCTCATTTCTAAAAATCAAAGAAAATATGTTTAAAGTTCCTGGATAAGTCAAGATCATCTAAACCTTTTTTTCTTCTAAATTTTAAAGTATGATCTTCCATTTTCTTCAAAATATTTTGTGAAGCATGTCTAGTTTTAATGTTTTGCCAACTAGTTTTGATGTTTGGGTTTCAAAATTATGTTTCCTCCTCTTTTCAAGAACTTTAACTAATGTTTCTAAGATTTATAAGTCTGTAGGAAGTTAAGATTTAATTAGCATGATTTTACAAGTTATTTTCCTATTTTTTTAACCTAATTTTGACTTAGGAATATGCTTAGGGTTTTGTCTTGATCAAGAAGTTTGTATTTAAGAACTTGTGTAAGTAGTTTTATGCTAACTTTTGGCATGGAATTGCTACTACTTGTATGTTATTTTGGGGAAAATTCCTCAACCTCATTGGATCTTGGGTGTTGATAGGTTGAAAAATCAAATCAACCAAAATTGATGAATGATGTTGACGATATTTGAAACCCTAATTTCATCTGATACATCCCCTCCCTCTTCATCTTATCCATTTCTTACTTGTGCTACATGTTATTGGAGAATTATTTACATATCATTTCTATATAATGTGGTACATATATTGTTATTGACCGGCCTCAAAATAGGTGTGACTTCTGCATAAGTCCACTTACGATTGCTTAACATAGTTCTAAATTTGTCCCGATTCGAAAAATGATCATTCGTGGCCTAAACCTATATTTGCAAGCCCAAGCATGTTAATTTGAAACCTTTAATCCAATAACCTTGAGGTTCATTGTTATGAGGCTTTGATCTTATCAATCCTCTAATGAACTTTCATGAACTTTGGTCTACGTGAATAATTTAAACATCGTTGATCATATATGATTGCCTCAAGAACTTAAGATGAATGATATACTTGATAAAAAGCAAATCATACTTGTTGTTGAGAAGCTTTATTTTATCAGTCTTCTAATGAGTTTTCAAATGCAAATTTCAAGATGGTAATTCAACTAACCTCTAACTTCTAATTAACTAACAATTTACTTTACTTTGTGTTTTAACTTTGTGCTTTTACTTCATTCCATTTATTTTATGCCTTTACTTTTATGCACCATTTACTTTAACATTTACATTTTATGCTATTTTCATCTTTTCTTGAGAGGTTTAGTATCTTTGCTTGCTTGGTTTCAATTTAAAGGATGGGAATTCTACATTGACTTCTTTATGTTAAGTGTTGGCTTCTTGTTGGTTAGACGGTTCTTTTACCTAGCTTTTAATTTATGCTTTAGGATAGTCCCTTCATCTCCTCCCATCTTCTTTAATTTCAAAAAACGTCTCCCTTCTTTTCAAAACTCTTATTGTTTTCTAACTTGAACCACTTTTTTAATAAACTTGGACTTAGGTCCATGCATTTTCAAAAATCATTTCTTGATCAAATTTTAATCAATATAATCATACTTTGATATTTTTTTGTGATAAGACTAAAAGTCATTAACCTCGTTCAAACCATTTTGCCCATTTTTGCATTTTACTTTAAAACTTTTCTCAAAATATTAGACTCTTGTCGATTCTTGTAGTGATGTGAGCTACTATATTTCTATGATATACAGTGAAGTGATATATTTTCCACTTGGGTCTTGAGTTAGGCTTTGTTAATTTTAAATCCAAGTCATATCCTCCACTTTGAGATTATGCAAATTCTCCTTTCTCATAGTCATGGATAGTAAGTATGTTTTCCACCCGGATATGATGATGATGTATCTTCTCTTAAAATTACTCAACACACTTGAGTTTTAAAAATTTTAAGGTGAAACTATTGATAAATACAAGGCTCACCTTGTTGCCAAGGGTTTTAGACAAATATAAAATATAGATTTCTTTGACACCTTTTCTCCTGTCACTAGAATTACATCCATCAGGGTACTTATTTCAATAGGTGCTATTTATAACTTAATAGTATACCAAATAGATGATAAAACTACTTTTTTAAATGGTGACTTAGAAGAAGAAATCTATATGGAACAACCGAAAGGGTTTGTGATCAATGGACAAGAAAATAAGGTATGTAAGTTAGATAAGTCTTTGTATGGACTAAAACAAGCTCCTAAGCAATGGCATGAAAAATTTGATAACTTAATGATATCGAATGGGTACAAAGTGAATGAAAGTGACAAATACGTTTATTACAAATTTGAGAATTACATTTGCACTATCATATGTCTATATATAGACGATCTATTCATATTTGGATCAAACATTCAGGCCATTAATGATATGAAATCATTGTTATGCACCAACTTTTATATGAAAGACCTCAGAGAAGCGAGTGTGATTATTGGTATCAAGATCACGAGATCCGAGCAAGGAATGTATTTTGGATCAATCACAATATGTGAAAAAGATCTTAAAGAAATATAATTACTTTAACAGTAAACCTGTGAGCACACGATATGATCTAAGCGTGAAGTTGTTTAAGAACACTGGTGAAAGTGTTAGACAAACTGAATATGCGAGCATCATTGGAAGTCTTAGGTATTCCATTGATTGTACTAAACTCGACATTTCATATGTCATGGGATTGTTGTGCGGGTTTACTAGTAGACCAAGTAATGAACATGGACAAGCTATTGAGTGAGTCATACGGTACCTTAAAAGGACCTTGAATCTCAGTTTACATTATCAGATATTTCCTATTGTACTTGAAGGATACAATGATGCATATTAGAATATCTTATCAGATGATTCTAAAGCAACTAGTGGCTATGTATTCAACATAGCTAGAGGAGTTGTATCTTGGAAATCAAAGAAACATACTATCCTGAGAATATAGCATTAGTGACTGCTAGTGAAGAAGCAAGTTGGTTAAGATGCTTGCTAATTGAGATTCCCTTATGAGAAAAACATATGTCAGTTGTGTTGATCCACTGTGATAGTACCGCGGCTATTGTAAAAATTGAGAACCGTTATTATAATGGTAAAAGACGTCAAATTATAAGAAAGCACAACATTATTGGAGATTGTATCTCTAAAAGAGCTGTAAGAGTGGATCATGTACGCACTTATGAAAATTTAGCAGATCCTTTGACGAAAGGATTAGCTAGAGATAAAGTCTATAATACATCATATAAGATGAGACTAATGCTTATAGGAAAATGAGTTGCTCATGATGGTAACCCGACCTAAATGACTGGAGATCCTAAGAAATAGGTTCAATGTGTAACAATAAGTTGTAAGTAATATGAGATGATCATGCAAGTAAAGCATGAATCCTGAAATAATAAGAGGATGAGATAATAGAAATTGTTAATGAGATATATATACTTTGTATGAGGGAGTACCTAGGCTACACGAGTACTCTTGATAGACTCACCTATGTGATTGTGGAACTTAGGCCCGTTCCTATGGAATTTCGAGACAGAATTCCTAGAGCCTTCATTAAACTGGAATACACGTGCATGACCATTAAAGCATGGGCTATTAGAATACACCTTAAGAAAAGGTTGTGTGTGGGTTTGATGTCTGAGATAGAGTTCAAGATATTTGTGTCACTCTTGTTGAATTGGAATCCTACTTACTATGCAAAGGTTCAAGTCGTAGACACCTTTGTTTATGCACAATCTTAGAAAGGTTTGACGTTACTTCTAAGATCAATTTTTTAAATTCGAGTGGGGGATTGTTGGAACATGTCCATGTTCCAATATGTTGAATTTAAAAATTTCTCAAGTCCCACATTGTTAGAATATCTTTTTGGTTGAAAAAACCATTTAGTCCCACATTGCTCCTGTGAGAAATATTAACTAGCTTACTTCAGTATATAAGGAGTGCACATGTTTTATTCTAAATTACACCAAAAAACTATTCAATTAGTTTTTCCTTCATCGCTCTCATAACTCTACGTCTCTCGAATTGTCGAAGCGCCGTCTTCTTCCCCTTTCTTCCTACTTGTTGAATTTTCTGAGTATTTTCTTGAATTCTCTTTAGAGAATTATGCTAATTTCTTTGAGTTGAGAAATTTTCAAGTTTAATTTTTTGGATTCTCTTTGGAGAATTATTTGAATTTCTCTTTGTTGGAGAAATTATTATGAGTGTTCAAATGACCATTATTAATTTCTTTTTGGAGAATTATTTGAGTTTCTTTTTGTTTGAAAAATTATTATGACTGGTCTTTGTATCAGATAGTACGAGTGGTGTTGATGCCATATTTGAATAGTCTTGTACCATTAGAGAGTGTATTTTTAGACCGATTACCTACCATGCAAGTAGTAATTATACAGTATAAAACTGAGCTGTTTTATCTTAGAGGCGGCGCGGTAGTTCGACTGTTTTGCATAATTTTTAGTAGTGTCGTAAAACGTCTTAAAGAGAGCGACATAGTCCGCGACTCAACCTGATAATTTCTTCAATGACAAATATTTTAAAATTCGAAAATATAAACAAGAAACATCATATAATAACATATGCAAATGTGTATAAGTTCGGGCCCATCATACATAATCAATTGTTAAATAATGATATGGCAAAGGTGGCGGTTACTAAGGTGCTAGATTCAAATGTTCAAGTCCCTATGCCCACTGATGAGGTGACAAAGGTTGGTGAAGCCCTCGATAATTTCATCCAATGGCCAAAAAGACTATTGCGTCTTGTTACTAATAAGGTATTCAATATTTATGTCCATTTTATATTTTAATATAAAATGACTATCTTATAATGTCTAATATTTTATCTTAATTGTTTAGGATGTTAAAGGAAATACAAAGATGCCCTTTCATCTAAAAGGCCAGAACCTGAAAACACCGGCGCTGAAAAATTGATGTTAAAGATAATGTCGTGGAAAGATGTTGTGAAGTTCAAGTTGGAAGGGGATACATTTTTTTTATCTCCCAATAAAAGATATTATGGAGTTGTGTATGGGTGGTGTAAGTACATTTCTACACCCTTTTTACTATTGCATTTACTAGATAAAAATTGTTGTTGTTTGCTTTTTGAAAATATGAATCATGGTTTGATTTGATTTGGTATGTGGGTTTTTAACTTCTGGCTTTTGTATGTATTATGTGGAACGATATGCTATGTTTAGAAATTGGAAACTGCAGGCTTTTGTATGCTTTTTGTGAAAGTGCATACTTTGTCTTCTGGATGCAAATAAGTTCAATGCCATTTAGGATATTTTACTAGTACAGACGTGAGATCCAAGTTTCAATACAATCAAACATGTTGGAATCTTGGTATGATGTTAATTTAGAGTGGGAGTTGGAATGGTTTATTGATATTAAATGGACAATAAATGAACATAAGTAAGAACTAGTATGGAAGTAAATTTAAAAGGATTCATTTTAGTCCCACATAGGAGGGAATACAAATATTAGTAGTGGATATATATATTTCAACTTGCCCAATTGGGTTGGGCTCCAAGGGGCGCCCCAATTTTATAAAGGAGTGAGGACACACCCATAAGCAATATAGACACACGCGTGTGCCGCCGCTGTCCGGCTTGGTTCGGTTCGGTCTAGATGAATTAATTTTTGGAACCCGAATTAGTGGAAATTAATTATCATTAGTTAATTAATTCGGTAGAAATTGAAAATAAGAAATTAATTAATGTTAATATTAATTAATTACGAAATGGTGACATGTTCTGCACAGAAACCAAGTCTTAACCTATTTTTTGACTTGTTATGTTTGTCCTCCAAGAGTCATACGTGTACCTGTGACTTGTTGACCAAGTAAAAAAACAGTTATATTTGACTGGGTTGATTCCACTATCTCCCACGATTTTCTCCCACGATACAAGTTCCATTCAGTTGGATTCTTTGCCTATAAATAGAATTCTCCAGTTCATTTGTAAGTATTCCAGAATTTTCTTCATCTACAAAATTTTCTTTTCTGTTTTCGACTGACTTACTAAGTGATCAACAACTGGAAATTTTCAGATACTACGACTGGTTTTATACCATCCGAAGGTGTAATTCTTCGAACGATTTATTACAGTGCAAGTAATAATCATATTTCTGAACGGGCTGTTTTATCTCGGAGACATCGTCGAAACTCGACTGATTTGTATAACTATTGACAATACGACGAAACGTCTTAAAGAAAGTGACCTAGTACGCGACTCGTCCCGATAATTTTTCTTTGTGGTATTTTTTCAAAAACGGAAACAACATTTTTAAGACATATTCTTAATTGCCATGGCTACTGAGGAAATTATTGGTACTACTGCGGCCGCTTCTGTCTCTGACAAACCATTTAAGTTTGAGGGTTCCAATTTCAAACACTGGCAAGCTAAGATGAAAATTTTCTTAACTTTAAAGAAGGTTGTCCATGTTCTGACTGAGGATATCCCTGTTGCCCCTTCTGGATCAAATGAACTAAATAATGGTAAGACAATTGTGGAATCAGACGGGACTTCTAAAACGTCTGACTTAGACTCTGCTGTTAAAACAGAGGCAGATAACTTACAGCTTAGAAAAGAAATCTCCCTATGGCAAGAGAATGACTACTTATGCCAAAATCACATTCTGAACAGTATTGCTGATGATCTCTACGATTACTACAGTAATTACAAGACTGCTAAACATGTATGGGAGGCTCTACAGACGAAATATGATACTGAAGAAGCAGGTGCAAAGAAATATGTTGTCAACCACTACTTGAATTACAAAATGGTGGATGATAGGTCCGTGGAAGCTCAAAGCCACGAAATTCAGAAAATTGCTCATGAAATCATAATAGAAGGTGTGCCCCTCGATGAACAATTTTAGATTGCTGTTATAATTTACAAGCTACCTCCTGGTTGGAAAGATTTTAAAAATTGCTTTGACATAAAACTAAATAATTTTCAATCGAGAGTTTGATTACTTGCCTCCGAATTGAAGAGGAAGCTCGAAGACAAGATCAGAAAGATGAAGTCTTAGTTGTTCAAACAACAAAAATAAATTCGGTGTGGTTTTGAAGCCTACGGGCTGACCTTTAAAGAATCAGGACTGTAGTATTGTGAATCGAATTAAGAATGGGAATCCCTCTAGGGCCCCATATGCTCCAATTGCTAGGAAACAACCACCACCTCAGAGAAATAATGCTCCAGTTTTCACTTGCTACAATTATGGGACACCAGGTCATATGGCTAAGAAATGTAAGAGCAGGCCTAAACCTGTTACTGGCTCAAATGTACAGGTTAACCTGACTAATGAGAAATTCATTTCTATGATCACTGAAGTCAACATGGTTGGTGGAAGTGATGGTTGGTTGATAAACATTAACGCCTCTCATCGTGTTTATTATGATCGTGCTATGTTCAAGACATACATAAATGCTGAAGATAAGAAAGTGTTGTTCGGAGATGCTCAGACCACTAATGTTGTTGGAATTGGAGATGTTGAGCTGAAGCTCACCTCAGAAAAGACTGATCTTGAAGGACGTCATGCACGTTCCTGAAATTAGGAAGAATCTTGTTTCTGGTTTTCTTTTAAATAAGGCTGGGTTTAGTCAAACTATAGGGGCAGATTTATACACCATCACTAAGAATGGTATTTTTGTTGGGAAAGGGCACGCCACTGATGGCATGTTTAAGTTCAATGTTGATTTGAATAAGATTTGTCTTTCTGTTTATTTTTTGCATGATCTTAATATTTGGCATGCTAGACTTTGTCACGTTAATAAGAAAATTATGTATAATGCAAGCAAATTAGGCTTGATCCTTAAATTAAATGTCAATGATTCAAATAAATGTGAATATTGTAGTCAAGCTAAAATAACTAAGACATCACATAAATCAATTATTAGAGAATCTGATCCCCAAGATCTTATACACTCTGATATATGTGAATTAGATGGAACTTTAACTAGAAACAGTAAACGTTATTTTATCACTTTTATTGATGATTGTTCTGATTATACTTATGTATACTTAATGAAGAGTAAAAGTGAAGCACTTGATATGTTTAAGTTATATGTAACTGAAATTGAGAATCAACTTAGTAAGAAGATTAAGAGACTTCGTAGTGATAGGGGAATTGAATATGACTCTAGTCTATTTAATGATTTTTATAAAGAACATGGAATTGTACATGAAACGTCTGCTCCATATTCTCCTGAAATGAATGGTAAAGTAGAAAGAAAGAATATAAATATTATTGAACGTGTTGTTGTAATTATGATGAATTATGGTGTTGCACCTCACTGGTGGGGGGAAATTTTATTGACTGTTTGCTATGTCCTAAATAGAGGCCCCAAGTCAAAATGTAAGATCTCTCCTTATGAGATATTAAAGAAAAGACAACCAAACTTATCTTATTTGAGAACTTGGGATTGTCTGGCTTATGTCAGAATTCCGGATCTGAAACGAGTTAAACTCGCTAGTAGAGCATATGAATGTGTTTTCATTGGGTATGCAGCAAACAGTAAAGCATATATGTTTTATGACCTAAAGGAAAAAGTGATCATATAATCAAATGATGTTGAATTCTGTGAAGACAAATTTCCTTTCAAATTGAGAAATAGTGGGGACACACAATCGAGTCACATTCCTATGATAAGAAGCACAGAAAGCAACGACAATTTAGAAACAGAACTTCGACGAAGTAAACAAGTAGGATTTGCTAAAGACTATGGGTATGATTATGTGGCTTATAATGTAGAAGAAGATTCAATGAATCTTCAAGAAGCGTTGTCATCTCTGGATGTTGATTTATGGCAACAAGCTATCAATGATGAGATAGAATCTCTAGAATCTAACAAGACCTGGCACTTACTCGACTTTCCTCCTAGTTCCTAACCAATCAGTTGTAAATGGGTTTTGAAAAATAAACTAAAACCTGATGGAACTATTGATAAATACAAGGCTCTCCTTGTTGTCAAGGGTTTTAGACAAAGAGAAAATATAGATTTCTTCGACACCTTTTCTCCTGTCACTATAATTACATCCATTAGGGTACTTATTTCAATAGCTGTTATTTATAACTTAATGGTACACCAAATGGATGTTAAAACAACTTTTTTAAATGGTGACTTAGAAGAAGAAATCTATATGGAATAGACGGAAGGGTTTGTGATCTATGGACAAGAAAACAAGGTCTGTAAGTTAGATAAGTCTTTGTATGGACTAAAACAAGCTCCTAAGCAATGGAATGAAAAATTTGATAACTTAATGATATCAAATGGGTACAAAGTGAATGAAAGTGACATATGTGTTTACTATAAATCTGAGAATCGCATATGCACTATCATATGTATCTATGTAGATGATCTACTCATATTTGGATCAAACATTCAAACCATTAATGATGTGAAATCACTGTTGTGCAAAATTTTTGACATGAAAGACCTCGGAGAAGCAAGTGTGATCCTTGGTATCAAGATCACGAGATCCGGACAAGGAATTTCTTTAGATCAATCACACTATGTGGAGAAGATCTTAAAGAAATATAAATAGTTTGACTGTAAACTTGCATGCACACCATATGATCCAAGTGTGAAACTGTTTAAGAACATGGAGAAAGTGTCAGAAAATCAGAATATGCAAGCTTCATTGGCAGTCTTAGGTATGCCATTGATTGTACTAGACTCGACATTGCATATGTCGTAGGACTGTTATGCAGGTTTACGAGTAAACCAAGTAAAGAGCACTGACAAGCTATTCAACGAGTCATGAGGTACCTCAAAAGGACCATGGATCTCGGCCTACATTATCAGAAGTTTCCTGCTGTACTAGAAGGCTACAATGATGCAAATTGGAATACTTTGTCTTATGATTCCAAAGCTACTAGTGTCTATATATTTAGTATAGCTGGAGGAGCTGTATCTTGGAAATCAA